TTCTGTCTGTCGAGCCTCCTCTTGCTCGGATAAGTGGATGGTGTAGAATATTTATATGATATCACACTTATATTTTTTTTGAAATACTTGGTACTCAAGCATTTAGAAATGGAAATGTGAGCATGTGTTAGAAATTAGACTTGGATATTTGCTTAAAGTGGTGGATATATCACATGTCCTCTGTTTATCATATCATATTTATGTTGGCAGCGATTTGGATAATTAAAGCATGGCTTTGGAATAATTTTTACTCCTCTTGCAAGCATGTTGGGATGTGTATTGTGAAACTTTTCATTTATCTTTCGTCTAGCATGAGATATTGAAGAATTTACTTGGTCTTTCATGCATGTTAGGGGGTTTCGGCTTTGACATCTTAATACTTGCTTTTGCTTAAAATGAATGCTAGAGAGTTCACTTTACTTTTTATTCATATATGGGGGCTCGGTTTAGCTCCTGCGGCTTTCCCTTACTTGAAATGTATGCTATGAGAAAATTTATTTAATTTGGAAAGCTGTATAGTTTGTTTTGAGGGCTTGGTTTAGCTCCTCGTGAGTCATCTCCCCTGTTCAAATTTCTGTTGGAATTGTTTTATGCTTGGAATATTTAGACATGCAGGTTATTCCTTGGTTTTGAGGCTTGGTTTGGAGTCTCGGCTTTGGCTTGAAATGGCTAGAACTTTTTTTTTTAATTTTTTATGGAAGTCTGGATTTTTATACTGTTGGGTGTGGTTTTGGTGCCTCTTAAGTTCGGTTTTGGCCTCTGCTGGGCTCAGTTTTGGCATCCCACGGGTGTCTTAGCTTAAATATACAAGTCATGAATGGATTTATGTTGATTTGGAAGAATTCCGCAACTGTTCTTGTGTAAAACATGCGTTAGTTCTATATTTTGATGTCTTGAGGATATGTAAATGTTTTCTATTCTTTGGTTGTAACCCGAATTCGAACCTTAGTTGTGGCTCAGTCCTGGCTTGACTTGGGCGCTCGGTTTGCTTGTTTTAGCTCTTACTCGAGAGCCCATGATTGAGTCCTTAAAACTTGTCTTTACTCGAGAGTTTTGATAGCTTGCTTTGCTTGCCTTTGGCCCCTACCCGAGAGATGGCTTTGCTGGTTTTAATTCCTACCCTAGAAATAGCTTAGTTCTTTTTGATTTTTGTTGGTCTCGGCTCTTACCCGAGAGCCTGTTTTGGGTGTGCTGTGTTGTCTCCATTCGAAGGCTGTTATTTTGTTTTGATGGATTGATTTGACAGTTTATGAGACCGCAATTTGATATTTGCTTGGTGCCTAGACGTGGGTTTGTGATGTGGTTGAATCAGCCTCCCCTTTTGGTCCTTACCCGTGAGGCCTGTTGGAGGTCGTTGGGTGTGATTTGGTCCTTCTTGCTAGGCTTGATTGGCTTGAATGTTGTGGATGAATCAAGCTTGCCATCCCAAAAATTATAATCACTTTAGTTATCCTCTTATGTTTGTCAGGGAAGCATAGTAGTCATTGGTGGTTCTTTTCTAGGTTCTTTGTTGCCTCAGCCGCGAGCCTCACTCGCTGCCCCTTTGGTTTCCTTTGGTCATGGGTCTTGGTAACTATCTTTTGCCTTAGCCGTAAGCCCCATTTGGCCTCTTTCCTTGTCTTAGCCGAGAGCCTTGGTGGTTGCTTTCTCTTCTCTATTGGCCCCAGCCCTGAGCATTTATTTAGATTATGTGGAAAAATTTTATGCTTATTCGATACACGAGGCTATCTATTAATTCGAAAGTGGGAGAATTTTGATTTCGGCATGACTTTGGAAATATTAGTGGTGACTTCCTCGAGGTCATTTTAAACCCCAATTTGGAAAAACATTTTGTGGACTTGATCAATCCTACGTCTTTGAGGTTTGAAAAATCAGCGCAAAGTGACTCTTTATGTTTTTTAGGAAAGACCTTGGGCCCTACTTTTCCATGTCTTTTCGATACGAGTTTTTGAGAACTGATCTATTCTCCTTTTTGGTGTTTTAGATGGATTAGTGCTCTCTCTCTTACCTCATTTTTGTTCTTTTCTTTCATTGCTTCTTGGTTCGTTCTTTTTGATGCTTATGTCCGATGCATAAGTGTCCACGTATAGCCTTTTGCTATACGTGAAACCATCAAGCAAGGTCGCAAGTAGTCGTTTTAGGGCGTACGGTGTTGATGATAAAGACATACCGAAGATAGAGCAGAAATATGACCTATCCTATAACATCAAGATCCGGACATTTGACGAACAATAGGATATGATATCCTTCACCGACATAAGTCTAGCTAGCGGGAGTTGAGCGGGAGTTGACTCGAACCTCCTCAGATGATTGACAGTCCCATGCCCGACAGTGTAATCGACTCATGGACAACAAAAATTTGATAAACCCTTTTCAAGCAAAAACATACTTTTCCACGAAACAAAAATGATAACTCTGCTTTGCATGTTTAAAATTTGTATGCATGTTAAAAAACATAAAACATACTTTAAAGTTGGTTGTCCACCTGACGAATACCTGTTTAGACTGGGAAATAACCCTCTAAGGGATGTTCAAGACACAATTATAGACGAGTGGCGGGTTCTATACATTCGGGTGGCCGAGTAGCCTTCGTGGACCCTCGAGAATAAATATACAGCTAAGCCTAGTCCCATACGAGTGCTTGCGGTCCCTCTCATCCGAATTTTTTTTGTTTTGTTTTATCGAAGCTTTGAGACAGGACACTCGTGTTACTTTTCCTTTCTTTCGGGATTTCTCCAGTATTTTTGAGGATTTTCTTTTACTTGAGTCTTTCCTCGTTGATTTTCTCGAGTTTTCTGCTCTTCCTCGGATTTCCTGGACGACGTTTCTTCCAGACTTCGCTTTTGAGATGCATTTATGTTTGCTATACTTAAGAAACGACGGATCTCACGGGTGTACATGTTTGCTTTACATTTTACAGCACTTCATTTTCCTGTTTCTACCTGCTACTGTTCTTTCTCTACGACATATTATATTTGTTCTGTTTCTACCTGCTACTGTTTTTTTTGTACAACATGTTATACTAGTCCTGTTTTTGCCTACTACTATTCTACATGCATCCTACCGTTTGTCCTGTACTGCATATTTTATATTATATAGCTTTAAGCGTGCCTTTTTTTATATAGGACATTTAAAGGACTACAACCATAGGGCCGTTTGATTTGACATCATAACTGGATACCCTAGAAAACTTAAACTCGTCATGTCGGGGAGCTTGGAGCTAGCGCGGTGGGCAGCACGACCATCTTCAACAGCAGAACATCTCTTCCCCAACTAAATCATTCCTTCTCCTAGAATTAAACAACAATCCATAGGATTTCGAGGTTGTTTGCCCAGCGCAACATAAATCCTCCACCTTTTTTTTAGGCATTCGTATAGCTCTGCTGTACGATTTAAACCCTAACTCGTTCTAGGTTCCGAGGTTGTCGTCCGATACGACGTAAACCCTCATATCTT